CCTTCGGTGCGGGCCCACAGGGGCCCCCCCAGCACTGGCTGGCGCACGTGGATTTGGCGCCCTTCCCCCCTTCACCCCCGCCCCCCCTTTCAAGCCGCGCGCCAAAGGTTACTCTTGCCCTGGGTCACTTTTGGCCTGTAGCCGGTCCGAGGCTGGGAGGGGAGGAGAGACCTCCCCTTTCCGCTCACCCCTTTCTCCTCCTCCCCTTCTGCTCCTTCTCCCCCTCTCCCTTCCTCCGATGTGCACGATGTTGTGCAACCTCTGATGCGAGGCATGCAGAGGGCGGGGACGCGGGGTGATCGATCAGGTGGGTGTTGGGACCCTCGTTCGTACCGTGCGCCGCCTTCCCTCCTCATCATCGTTTTCTTTGGTCGGTCGTCATGTGGTGCCCCTGGATGGGATGGTCCTGTGCGGAATGCAGCGGCAAACGTTTCCCCCCTCTGTCCTTACCCCCCTTGTCCCCTGTCCCCGCCCCCCCCCCCCCTCTCTCCCTCCCGCCCCTCTCTCCCCCTCACGTCCCTGCCTCCTCCTGCTGCTCTGCTCCAGCTCCTGCTCATGCTCTTCCTCCTCCTCCTCCTCCGCCTCTTCCCAAAAAGGCTCCTCCGAGAGCAACTCGCGTCCCCACCTCTGTCTGACCTGGACCGCCCTCTCCCCTCCCTCAGTGGGCAGTGCACTTCCTCCTCCTCCTCCTCCTCCTCCTCCTCCTCCTCCTCCTCTCACCCGCGCGCGCGGGGGCGGGGGTGAGTGAGGATGCGAAGGAAGGAGCAAAGGAAGTGATGAAGATGAGGACGAGGACGGGGAAAGGGCGGATGAGGAGGATGAGGAGTATGAGCAGCAGGAGTGGTGGTGGTGATGATGATGCTGCTGCTGATGATGATATATGTGCTGATGCTGATGCTGATGCTGATGATGATGCTTGTGATGCTACTGATGATGCTGATGATGATGCTGATTATGGTGATGACGAGGAGGAGGAGGAGGAAGAGGAGGAGGGGGGAGATTTGGAGGGGGAGCCATGCTGGGGATGATGGTGATGAGGATGCTGAGGGTCCTGCCGATATTGATGGTGGTGATGGTGAGCAGGATAATGATGATGTTGATGCTGATGCTGCTGCTGCTGCTGATGATGACGATGCTGCTGATGATGCTGCTGATGATGCTGATGATGATGCTGATGATGCTTCTGATGCTGATGCTGCTGCTGATGATGATGACGCGGCTGATGATGATGATGATGATGATGATGATGATGATGATGATGATGCTGATGCTGATGCTGATGCTGATGCTGATGCTGATGCTGATGATGATGATGATGCTGCTGGTGATGATGATAGGGATGATGATGACGATGATGATGATGGTGGTGGTGGCGGTGGCGGTGATGATGATGCTGATGATGCTGATGGTGATGATGATGCTGATGATGATGCTGACGATGACGACGACGATGACGATGATGATGTCGATGGTGATGCTGCTGATGCTGCTGATGATGCTGCTGCTGATGATGATGATGATGTTGATTCTGATGATGATGATGATGATGATGATGATGATGATGATGATGATGATGATGATGATGATGATGATGGTGATGATGGGTTAATGAGTTTAGCAGTTTTGTACTGATGTGGAAGTGTGCAGTTGGGGTGGGATCGTGAATTTTCCCGAATGGAGCCTAGGCGCCTCTAGGAACGAGTCGGTGTCTGCTGGTGTTCTGTGGGGCCCTGGGCGCTTGTAGTCCCCCGGCCCCCGAAACAGGTGGGCTCTGTGGCCCAGTCTTTGGAGCCCCGAAGTCCTGGTCCGGGGGCTCCCGCGGGCGGTGCGCGCGCCTCGTGTGCGCCTCTCGTTCGCTCCGCAGCCGTGTGTGCTCCCAGACCTCTCAAGTTTCTCGCGGGAGCTGGGCGGAGGCCCACCCCGCTCCTCCTCCTCCTCCTCCTCCCCTCCTCCTCCTCCTCCTCCTCCTCCTCCTCCTCCTCCTCCTCCTCCCTCCTCCCATCTCCCTCCTCCTCCTCCTCCTTCCTCCCTCCTCCTCCTCCTCCTCCTCCTCCTCCTCCTCCTCCTCCTTTTGCCAAGAGGGCCCACGCCATGGAGCCCTGAGGGGACTTGCAGTGTCCACCCGTGGCTCAGAGGGGTGCGGTCGTCTGTCGTCCAGGAGCCGCAGACGACAGTTGACGGAGCGGACCTCGTCTGGGGGTCGCCGAGATGGTGGTGATCGCCGCGGGAGCTCGGCGCTACGGACCCGAGGCCCTGCGTGGAGCGGGGGCTGATGTGTCTGACGAGGACGTGTCCGAGCTGCTAGCCCGACTGCGTGCTAGCATCAACGCAGGGAGCGCCCCCAAGTCTAAGGCTGCCGAGGGCGAGAAGCTGGTCACCGCCCTGGAGCCCGTGGCGACGAGTCTGGCGATGGGGAGCCCCTGCTGCTGGCGACGGACATGCACCAGGTGCTGTGGTCCTTCGTGGAGGCGGGGGTGAAGGACACCCAGGCGGAGGCCAGAGTGAGACGCGTGGCGGGGGACGGGAGCGGCAGGCCGAAGCTGGCCAACAAGATCTGGGCCCACGCTATCGGCGAGGCTGTGAATGAGAACGCTTTCGACTGGATGATGCACTGCGGACTGGGGCTGCTGGCAGCCCGTGCGGCGAGGGCGGCGCGGAGGTCGAGGACCCAGGGACTGCGACCGCCACCAAGGCCCCCGCCGCGGGGCCGAGTCCGATTGGGAGGTGGCCTCCCCCCCCGCGGCGCTGCCCGCCCTTCTGTGGAGCCCAGCTCCGGAGGCCGCAGGTCCGTGGACGGGTGCCAAGAAGCCTGGAGCGCAGGACCTCGCGGCGCTGCGGGCGTTCGGGTCAGGCCAGACGGTGCAGGGCCCCTTCAGCCAGACGGCAGCGGCACAGATGGCCCCGCCAGAGGTGGGATGGGTGGCCGCCCCTGGTCCCGTCGGGGGGGGGGGCGGGGCCAGTGGCCTACGCGCGCCCTTCGCGCCGGGGGACGCCGTGAAGCTGGGGATGGAGGCCAACGTTTTGCGAGCCACGCTGACGGAGCTACAGTCGCGGTCGACCACCGACGTGTGCTGGACCTGGCACTTCTGGGAGAGGATCCACGCGGTGGACTGCTCTCAGGGCTTGCACCCCGACCTCCGACGCCAGCTGCAGTGCCATGGCTACGTGGGGGCTGGCACCAAGAGCCCGCCGGGGCCCTCGCTGCCACGGGAGTTGGAGAGTCTGCTGGCTTGTCCGGCGTCCAGCCACGGCAGCGGGCTTGCTGGGGGGCCGCAGTGGTCGTGGGCGCCGCCCATCGCCGCCCGGCAGGAGGATTCGAGGTGGAACCTGAGCTTGCTCCCCGACCCGAAGCGCGCGGCTCCCGAGATCTACCGAGCCATGCGCGGGGCGCGGGCGGCCGGTGCCCGCGGCTGGCTGTCGCAGGAGGTGCGCGGGCAGAGGCGCGCCGCAGTGTGGACCGACCTGTGGACAGCTGCTCGACTGTGGGCTGCCTGCTGGGGGAGTGCCGCTCACAGACCGAGGTGCTCACGCGCTTGGCGTCGGACGACGCGCTGGAGATGCGTCTGCGGCGGCTGGCCAGCTAGGTCGGTGATGCGGGCGAAGGACAAGGTGGGCGCGGCGGCCATGTTGGCCGTGCGACCGCCGGGTTCGTCGGCGGACCTGGCGCCGACGTGGCTCGTGACAGAGGCCACGGCGCGCGGCGAGGCCGAGCGCCAGCGGGGCGAGCGCGTGGCCGCCTCGGGCAAGCGGGATGGTCGTGGAGCTGGTCGAGGCGGAGGCTTCAGCGGGAGCGTCGACCAGGCAGCTGGCGGCAGAGGCAGAGGGGGCGACGGCGGGGGGCGGGGCCGCGGCCGAGGGGGCAGGCCCTCAGGCCGCGGCAAGCCCCAGGCTTGACGGGGGCTGGCGGGCCGAGGGATTTGCGGCCCACCCACGGCCCGATGTGGTGCCCCGCCGCGGCGGTGGCAGCCAGCGAGGCCAGCGACTGGGCAGCCTGGCTCGCGCGCGCGGGCCCTGCAGTAGACGGGGGCCAGTGCGTGGATCTTCTTCCCCGTACCTCTGCCAGACCGACCTCTTCAGCGTCGGCCCTCGTCGGGCAGACTGCGCGCGAGGGTGGCCCGGCGCCTGCGCGCGCGGCGTCGGGCCTGCGGGCTCATCGAGCTCATGAACGAGATGGGCTATGGTTCCTTGGAGGCGAGACCACAGGGCCGACGAGAGACGGATGGCGCGCAGAAGATGTTGGCCTGAAACTCGCGCAGCAGCGCGCGTTGCACGACGCGGCGGGGTGCGAGCCTGACTGCTGGGGGCTTGCTCCGACAGGCTGTCAACTGGCGGTACTCGACTCAAGACGAGGGGCGCAGGGCGCCTGCGCAGGAGTGCGAAGGGGAATCACCAAGCACGTTGCTCTTGACGCGCTTGCCATCGCCGAGCCTCAGGACGACCGCGTGGTTGACCTGCTGGAGGCGCTGCCAAAGGGCGACCGGGCCTTCTGCAGTGAGGAGAAGAACGTGCTGGACTACAGCGGGAAGCCAGCCGCGATCTTCGAGGAGCTGGAGGCGCGCTTCGGGTTCGTGGGCAGGTCGACCGACGCCTGCTCGTGGTGCTTGCTGCGCGACGACCTCCCGAAGGACATGGGGGGGGGCCTTCGAGGCGACCGAGGGCGCGCAGGCCTGCTGCGGCTTCATCGTCGCGCCGAAGAAGGACATCGCGAAGAAGCGTGGGATCCCCATGATGTGCGCGAGTACTGCGTCTGCGCGGCGGGGCGGCGTTGGCCTCGATGTGCGTGGCGGCCCTTGACGAGGACAATGCCATCGCGCGGCTGCGGGTCCCAGCTTGGGTGGCGAGGTGGCAGGCGTCTCCGCCCATCCGAGCGCGCTGGGTCTGGGAGAAGCTGAGCAGACGCCTCCAGGGTCAGCTTGGGCCCGCAGGCTGGGTGGCTCCTTGCTACGGCCACCTGGCCATGGGCGGCTCGCGCTCGGTGATCTGCTCGTGTCGGTCACCGTCGCGGTGATCGGCAGGGCGCTGCTGGGCGCGGGGTCGCGGCTCGCGGCGCTCGGGAAGGGCTCGGCTGGAGAGGCTACCTCGCCGCCCGAGGGCGGGGGGCCGCGTGGGGCCCGCCCGAAGGGCCCGAGGAAGCGGAGCTGGCGCACCGCTGTGACGACGATTGGGCGACCCAGCAGACGAAGTGCAGGGCCGCCCCCCCGCGGGGGCGCGGCGTCGGAGTGGGGGAGTGGATCGCGACGGTGAAGGAGGCGAAGAGAGAGGTGGAGCGCGCGCTGGTGGCGATGCGCCTGTTTGCGGGGCGCCGGCGGGAGAACGACGTGGAGGCAGTGGTGGGGGGGGGCCAAGGAGCGGGGCTTGCGGGTCGTCTTTCGCTCGGCGGACGTGGCGGGCGACCCCCGCTGGGACCTGGCCAGCGCGGTCACCTTCTCGTCGCTGATGGAGCTGTGCGGGGGGGGATGGGCCGACGCGGTGCTCGGCGGCCCCCCCTGCTCCGCCTGGTCGCGGGGCCGCTGCGGCCGACGACGACAGGGGCCACCTCTGGCGCGCTCCGGGCACTGCCCGCGGGGCCCGTCGGGCCTGCGGGCGTAGGGGGCGGCCAGAGTGGCCGAGAGCAACGCCCTGGCGCTGAACCTGTTGGCGCTTTGTGAGGCGTGCGGCCGATGCGGCGGCGCCCTCCTCGCGGGGCGCCCCGGCGCGCGCCCTGCCCATCGATGTGGGGCGCGACGGAGGCGCGGGAGCTTGAGCGGCGACGCGGGGCTACCAGGGCACGCCTGGACCAGTGCATGCTTGGCGGACGGGCGAGGAAGCTCGCGTGCCTCAGCGGAGCGGCGCTCGGACTCGACCAGCTGAACGGAATGCGCTGCGACGGAGCTCATGCCCGCGAGTCTTCCGAGGGCAAGCTGGAGGACGGTGGCTTCCGCGCTGGCCCTCTGGCCCAGTGCCCGACGGAGATGTGCGAGAAGCTCCGCGACCTGGTGCCGGCGTCTCTGGGCCACTTCAGCGACAGCGGCACGGGGGGCGCGGGGTGTCAAAGGCCGCCCGAGGCGGACAGGGCTGTGGCGGCGTGGGGCGGGCGCAGTGCCCCAAGGCCGGCGGTGGCGATCAGGAACGAGGGCGCGGTCAGAGGCCGCGGTCTGGATCTGCGCGACCCGCAGGTGGCCTTCACCTGCGCGTCGGCGCCGGGGTGGTGATGGCAGGGGGGCCGATGAGGGGCGGCATGGCCACGGCCGCCGTGCGCGTGCTGGCGAGCGCGCCCGCCGAGGCAGGGCTCGTGGTGGCGGATCGCGCCGAGGCCGCGGACGTGCAGAAAGTGCTGGGTTACTCCCCGCAGAGGGCCCCCGCCCAGCTTCGGCCCCCGCCCGCTCGGGCACGAGGGCTGGTGGCGCAGCTGGAGGCGATGGCGGGGAAGCACGCGTTCGCGGAGGACCTCAGGTCGCTGCTTGGCGCGTGGATCTGGGGGCCCTCCTGAGGAGAGAAGTTCCGTGCATCCCCGGCGCTGTGTTCAGGCTACTGGGGCGCTACCCGCAGCAGAGGGTGGGGCCCTGGATGTCGGCGCGCAGGGAGCTGAGGGCCATGGCGAAGGTTGCGCCCCTGACGCGCGCCGACCTGGGGGCCGAGCCCGCCTTGGTGTACTTCTCAGCGGGCGCCGTGGGCGCCGGCGACCCGGGCCGCGGCGGCTGGGGGGCACTGGCGGCCGACATGTGCGAGGACGTCGCCAGGGGCTTCATCGGCGCGGGGGGGGGGGCCAGGGGTGCGTGGTGGCACGTTTGGACGGCGAGTTTTCGGGGGTGCGGCGGCCAGAGCAGGTGATCCGCAGGACGAAGCCCTTCAGTCTCTTGCCAGACCAGGTCTTCAAGCCCGATAACGAGTGGACGGTGGTTGGGCAAGGGCGTTGGCTAGCCGCCGACCGCGTCGCCCTGGGCGCGCGCCGCTACGTGGTGAAGATCAGCAGGGTGGCGGTGGCCGCGCCGGTGCTGCATCGCACAATGCTGCCCGTGCTGGACGACAACCAGGGAGTGTCGGGAGCGGTGAACAAAGGCAGGCCACCAGCTCATCATATCAATCCTCTGCTGCGACATAAGCGTGCGGCAGCGCTGGCATTTCGCGCCAGAGTTTTGATTCCATGGGGGGCGGGGGCCACCAGGCAGCCTGCTGACCAGATTTCGAGGTGCCTGAACATCATTGAGCTACGCGACCTGGTCCATGTCGGGGCCGCGCAGGCATGATAATGCGTCTGGAGAAGATCCAACCGCGCACCCTGATCACCTACAGGGCGGCGGCGATGAAGTTTGCGAACTACTTGGACAGACGCGGTTTTGTTCCCGACGGGCCCGAGCAGTGGGATGACCTGCTGGTCGACTGCAAGAACGACGAGAAGCTCACCAAGTGTAACTTCGAGTGCGCAGTGGCCGCAGTGGAGTTCGTCCTGCCACGTTTGAGGAGGAAGCTGGCCTGGTCCCATTCAATTATCGATGCGTGGAGGGTCGCGGCAGAGGTTACGCATGCGCCGCCCATGGGGCGGGCGCCGGCGAACCTGTTGGCGATGCACTTTGCCTGCCGTGGTGTGCCGCGCCTGGGAGTGGGGCTGCTGCTCTAGGTGGGCCGAGGATTGCGCCCGTTGGAGATGCTTCAGCTCAGAGCAAAAGATGTATCACTGCCATCATCGAGAGGGGCCAGACCAACAGCCGAACTGGGTCATGAACTTGGGGGCAGAGGCTGGGGCTAAAACTAAAATCATACAGTGCGCTATGCTACTTGAACGAGACGGAATCCTTGATGACCTTGCACAGGGTCATGCGGGGGGCACCTCCAGAGGCTCTCTTCTTCCCGTGCTCGCTCGTCGGCTATGGGCGCGGGCTCGGGCAAGTTGAGGGGGGCTTACGCCTGGACATCCACTGGGCGCCGCGCTCGGCGCGCGCAGGTTTCGCCGGCGATTCCGCGGCGCGTGGCGTCCCGTTCCAGGAGATCAAGGGGCAGGGGTGCTGGCTCACGGAGTCCAGTCTCAGAGTCTTCGTGGGCGTTGTCGCCGCCTCGCGAGTTCTGGGCCAGGTGGAGCAGCAGCGAATTCCGCACCTGGTCAGAAAGGCGGGGCAGCAGCTGGCCCTCTACTTTCCAGGGGCATCTTCGGCGAGACCGAGGGCGGCCAGCATGCCGCCGGCAAGCTGCAGAATGGCGGCGCACGGCGCGTTCCTCCAGCCGCAGGACGACCAGCCCCCTCTACCGCTGGCACGTGGTCGACGAGTGGCATCGCCAGCAGCGCCGCAGAGGCCGCCCCAGTCGATCGGCCTGGGGGCAGCGGTGGGCGACCTCTTCGACCCGCAATCGCCGCGGCTGGTGGCAGCGGCAGCGGCGGCGGTGGCGGGGCCCCCGCCACCCCGGGCGGCTGGGAACGCGGCCGCGGGCGCGGGCTTGCCAGGGCCGGCCCCGCTGGCTGCCGTGGCTCAGCAGCCGCCGCAGGCGGCCAGAGCGAGGGCAGCGGGCGGGAGCGGCTGGGCGCTGCTGCGCGTAGGGGTGGCCGCGGCCTGCTGGGCCTGTAGGCCCCCCGGCCGAGGGTCGCGTGGGCGGCGGTCGCGGCCATGTTCCTGGCGGGGCTCTGCCTGGCGACGCCGAGCGGACACCTTGGCGCCGCCCTGGGCGCGGCGGCGAAGATGTCGGTCTCCGCGGGCCACGTCGTGGATGGAGGGCTGGCGGCGGTGGTGACCGCGGCCCGCGGCGTGTCGGACATCGCGCTTCAGTCCTCGAAGAAGTCTGCGAGCCTGCTCGACGAGGCTTGGCGAGGAATCGACCTGGTCAACCCTGCAGTGCATCGTCGCCATGCGGAGCGCATGGCGGACGATCCCGACGTGCTGCTCGGGTGGACCCGGACGGACGTCTTCGACGTGGCCACGTCGCCCCCTGGGGTGGGCGCAGCCGACCGCGCCCTGGAGGGCGCGTCGGTTTCGATCCCGCGCGCGCGCGGGAGTCCTGGCAGGAGCTGCGCCGGGCAGGGCAATGTCGAGAGCTCTATGTGACGTGCGACCTGCTCGCATCAGGGTTCTTCGGCCTCCGCGCGGTTGGCCGCCAGGTGTCCTTCAAGGCCAGATGGGCAAACCCAGTCTGGGGCGCCCTCGACCTCGACGTGCGGGCAGAGGGGGAGGGGGGCCAGTCTACAGCAGTGGCGCGACACGTTGAGCCGCCCCCCCCTGCCGGCGATCAAGTACGTTTCCATGTCAGACAAGGAGCTGGCGGCAGCAAGGCTCCCAGGGGCCTGGGTGGACCTTGGGCGCCGATGTGTGCGCGTGCTATATCTCAGAACTAAGAGCGTTTGCATGTAGTCGTGTGTGACCCGTGACGTGTCATTTGAGCTTTTGGTGGGCGCGCAGCGAGGGTTGGCTTGGGGGTCTGCTCCGGCTAGCAAGAGTGCCAGACATCTTCTCTGTTGGGTCTTGCGCGGCTTTCAGTTTATAAGAACATGGTGCAGAGTCAACTTGCATTTCCCTCAGAAGGCTCGCGAGCGGGGGCGGGTAGAGCTTCGGCGGCTGCAAGCCGAGAGCATGCACGTAATATCTTGAGACAGCCAGGTATATCTTGTAGCACTTCTCGCCTCCGGATCTGTGAGAGTCCTGGGTCGGCTGCAACATGACACCACCATCATTGGTTAATGAGTTTAAGAATGAGTGTTGCTGTGGAAGTGCACAGTTGGGGTGGGATCGTGACTTTTCCCGAATGGAGCCTCGGAGCTTCTGGGAACGAGTCGGTATCTGCTTGTGTTTTGTGGGGCCCTGGGCGCTTGTGCTCCCCCGGCCCCCGAAACGGGTGGGCTTTGTGGCCTGGTTTTTGGAGCTCCGAAGGCCTGCCTGGTCCGGGGGCTCCCGCGCGCTGTGCGCGTGCCTCGTGCGTGCCTCTCGTTCGCTCCGCAACCGTTTGTGCTCCGAAACCTTTCAAGTTTCTCGCAACACCCCCGCCGTCCCCCGCCAAGGTCAAGAGCCTCGGCGGCTGCAAACCGACAGCATGCACATAATATCCTGAGAGAGCCAGCTATATCTTGTAGCACTTCTTTCTGGACGCCAGAGATGGGCACGGAAAGAATGGGCACAATGCCCAAGAGCAGGTCTTGTTCATTTTGAACAGGACTCACTATCCGCGCCGCCGCGGCCTGTGTCCATTCGAGACAAAAGGCCGCCTGCCCAACAGCGGCCGCTGTTGGTTTGGGACAACATTTGCTGTGGGCATTGTACCCATTCTTTCGGTACCCACTTCGGGTGTCCAAATTCTCGCCTCCTGATGTGTTGAAATCTTGGGTTGGCTGCAACATGACACCATGATGAAGCTGATGATGGTGATGATGCTGATGATGGTGGTGGTGGTGGTGGTGGTGATGATGATGATGATGATTCTGATTATGATGCTGATGGTGATGAAGATGGTGAAGCGGAGTAAGATGCGGGAGAAGGAGGGAGGAAGGGGTGGCTGGGAGGAGGATGGGGGCTGTTAGAGGCCTTTTTGGCGCCATCTTGGGCCGTCATTGGGATCGCTTGGGCCGTTTTAGGGCTCAGGAGGCCTCGTGGGCCGTCTTGGGGCCCTCTTGTGTCCCTCTTGGCCCGTTTCGGGGCGTTCTTGGGCTGTCTCGGGGTCATCGTATCAACGGGAGAGGCAAAGCGCATTCAAACATTTTAGGCTTCGAGCGGTTCTGGCTGCTTCTTTCTGCTTCCTGCTTCCTTCTCTACTCTCCATTCGTTCCTCGTTCTAACTTTTGATTTTCCTCTTCCCTGTTTTCGTTTGTGATTTCTTCTGTGGCGGTTCAGTTTTCCCTCCTCAAATCTCGCTCTCAGTTTTTCTCGTCTTCGTCTTCTCTCTCTCTCTCTTTTCCCTTTAGAGCTCCCCGTGTGTGTGTGCCTTCGCTGTGAGCCTGAGTTTCCAGGAGCTTCTCGATATATTTTGCGTACGACCCGCGCGGCGTAGCAGCGACCTCCAACATTCGGCCGTTCTTGTCCGACCAGGAGGAGGCGGAGGGAGCATGAGGAGGAGGATAAGGGATGATGCTGATGCTGCTGATGACGATGGTGTTGTTGATGATGCTGATGCTGATGATGATGATGATGATGATGATGCTGTTGATGATGACGATGATGATGCTGATGATACTGATGACGATGAGGCTGCTGCTGATGATGATGAGGCTGATGATGATCCAGACGATGGTATTGGTGTTGGTGGTGGTGATGCTGATGCTGATGCTGTTGCTGATGATGCTGTTGCTGATGATGCTGCTGCTGATGATGATGACGAGGAGGAGGAGGAGGAGGAGGAGCAGGAGGAGGAGGAGGAAGGAAAAGGTTGAGGAAGGGAGGAAGGAGGAGGAGGAGGAGGAGGAGGAGAGGAGGAGGAGGAGGATGAGGAACAGGAGAGGAGGAGCAGACGAAGGGGGAGGATGACGAGGAGGAGTGGGGAGGAGGAGAGAGGAGGGAGGAGGAGGAGAGGAGGAGGAGGAGGAGGAGGAGGAGGAGGAGGAGGAGGAGGAGGAGAGGAGGAGGAGGAGGATGAGGAGGAGGAGGAGGAGGAGGGAAAAGGAGGAGAGGAGGAGGAGGAGGAGGAGGAGGAGGAGGAGAGGAGGAGGAGGAGGAGGAGGAGGAGGAGGAGAGGAGGAAGGGAGGAGGAGGAGGAGGAGGAGGAGAGGAGGGAGGAGGAGGAGGAGGAGGAGGCAGGAGGAGGAGGAACAGGAACATGAGGAGGATGAGGAGGATGAGGATGAGGAGGAGGAGGAGGAGGAGGAGCAGGACGAGGGAGGAGGAGGAGTAAGGTTTTGTTTTGAGGTTCGGGCGGTCCTGGGGGGTTCTGCGGGGTCGGGGAGGTCCCCTTCTGTGCTGCACATTCCTCCTCCCTCGAGTGTGCCCTCTGCGGCCTCCACGGGGCTGGTCATGACGATTCGGGTTTCTACCGTCGCAGGGGTCGGCCTCCTGTGAGGCAGGAGCCGCGTGCAGATGTCCCCCCCCCCCCCCCCTTCTACCTCTCCTCCTCCTCCTCCGCCTCCGCTCGTTTGTATAGTTTCATGGCGCTGCGGTGGAGGCAGATCCTCTTAGCCTCGACAGCCGTTGTAAAAGGTGGACGTTCCCACAGCCTTCGTGACTCTAGCTTCTTCCATTCGCACCGCAAGCGACAGGGGGTCGTTCCACCTAGGAGGCACGGGCGAGAACGGTCCAACTGTAGGATTGCTTACCGGCTCCGTTGGTTCGTTACCGGTGGTGGTATTACTCCTCACGTTGTCGTAATTGTGCTCGTGGTGGTGGGGGGAGAAAACGCAAGCGACAGGGACCATCTTTTGACTATTCGTTCTGCCCTGGTCGGTAGCAGGCATGCGAACGGTCGAGCACTTGCGACACCCTGCCGACAGGGGTGCTATACGGCTCAGTGGGACCGCTTGTACCTCCACGGAGAAGGCGCAAGTTTCCTCTGTCTGGCGCTCCGACCACCCATCCAATGCTCCCCTCCTGCCACACCTTGTCGCTGGGCTTATCATGTGGCTGCGGCTGCTCCTAATCAGTGCTTCCGCGACCGTTGATCCTCTCCTATTGCTTGCGACGGGCCCTTGGCCAGGTCAACGCGGGCAACGTTGAGATGGTTCGCATTCAGAACGACCTCCTGAGTGCGCAGTACACCTCGAAGGATGGAACTTGCCGCTTGCTGCCCGAGCGGGTGTGTAGATTCGCAGCCGTGGTTGTCTCTGCGATGCTGTGCAATATCGCTCTGAGTTTTGATGACGGGCCTCGCAAAAAGTACACCCGCAAACTTGGGTCACTCGCGGATGCGCGAAGATAATAGCGCTTCGCGCGTCGCGGTCTCGACCAGAGCGGTTGCCTTTATCCAAGAGGGTGGTGCGAGGGCGCGATGGCGCGACGGTAGTCGCGCATCGCGCATCGCGCATCGCGGTGCGTGGTGCGCGAAGGTAGGTGACTTGGTCAACCCGTGTATGCCCGAAGCTGACCTCTTTGAGGGCTTTTTTTGAAAAGGCCCTTACGGCCAAGGGTCCTTTCAGAACCCGCTCTGGCGAGGTGGCTTCCTTCAAGACGAGCCAGTCCAGTCGATCGTCGTTTCGAACAAGGCTCTTGAGAAGGAGGAGGAGGAGGAGGAGGAGGAGGAGGAGGAGGAGGAGGATGGGGAATGGGAGGCGGATGGGGGAGGAGGAGGAGGAGGAGGAGGAGGAGGAGGAGGAGGAGGATGAGGAGGAGGAGGAGGAGGAGGAGGAGGTCTGGGACCAGCGGGGCTCTGGGCCCGCCGACGCCTGGGGGTGCGGCCGTGGGCCTGGCGCGAAGCCGAGCTTCGGGGGGACGCGCGCGCGCACACGGAATCTCGCCGTTTTTGGCAGACGTCGAGGTGGCATTTCGAATTGGTGGTGATGATGATGATGATGATGATGATGATGATGATGATGATGATGATGATGATGATGATGATGATGATGATGTAGGTGATGTTGATGATGGGCTAATGGTGGTGGTGGTGGCAATGATGACGATGACGATGACGATGGCGACGACGAGGAGGAGGATGACGATGCTGACGATGATGATGGTGATGATGGTGATGCTGATGCTGATGCTGATGCTGATGATGATGCTGATGGTGATGATGATGCTGATGCTGATGCTGATGATGATGATGCTGATGATGATGATGATGCTGATGATGATGATGATGATCATGATGATGATAGTGGCGATGATGCTAATGATGATGACGATGATGCTGATGATGATGCTGCTGATGATGATGATGCTGCTGATGCTGATGATGATGACGACGATGGTGATGGTGATGCTGATGCTGATGATGATGCTGCTGCTGATGATGCTGATGATGATGAGGATGCTGATGCTACTGATGATGATGCCGACGATGCTGGTGATACTGATGATACAGATGGTGATACTGATGACTATGATGATGATGATGATTATGATGATGATGATGATGATGATGATGATGATGATGATGGTGATTGTGATGATGCCGATGATGATGATGATGATGAAGACGATGATGATGATGCTGATTCTGATAATGATGATGCTGATGATGATGCTGATCATGGTGATGACGATTATGCTGTTGCTGCTGCTGATGATTCTAATGATGATGCTTCCAGTGCTGATGATGATTATGATGATACTGATGCTGATGCTGATGATGATGCTGATGATGGTGATGTTGATGCTGATGCTGATGCTGCTGGTGATGATGATGATGATGATGATGATGATGATGATGATGCTGACGAATCTGATGATGATGATGATGATGATGATGATGATGATGATGATGAGGATTATTGGCTGCGTATGATTGGAGTCCAGGAGATGAAGAGCCAACTAGTTGTTGGGCTCTGACGGGCAGCCGCGACCGCGCAGCGCAGCCGCAACTTGTTGCCCAGTGGTGACGGCCATAGGTGACGGGAGATCGATTCCAGCCAGGCAGTATGGGTTTGAGGCCCAACGACTACAGAGATGATGACCCGCCGAGAGTCATCAATCAGAAAAGGGGGGACTTGATGAAGCACGCCTCAGTGAAGCACGCCTCCTATGGCACGTCTCCGTGAACCATCCCTCCGGTAAACTCTCCATGATGAAGCACGCCATGATGAAGCGCGCCTGATGAAGCACCCCCGTGATGGAGCACTCCCCGATGAAGCACTCCCCGATAAAGAACTCCACGATGAAGCCGTCCACGACGGCGAATCGCTCCACGATGTAGCGCTCCACGATGAAGCACTCCACGAAGCACTTGTTAATGAAGCACTCCACGATGACGCAGTCCACGCCGAAGAACTCCTTGGTGAAGCACTCCCCTGGAAGTGCTTCTTTGTGAAGCACTCCTTGGTAAAGCATTCCTTGGTGAGCCACTCCTTGGCGAAGCACTCCAGGAAGCGCGCCTCCAAGAAGCACGCTGCTGGGAATCACGCCTCCTTGAGGAACGCTACAACCAAAAATGCTTCCGTGAAGCATATCTCCGATGAAACACGCCGCA